GTGCGTGTGTGTGTGTGTGTGTGTGTGTGTGTGTGTGTGTGTGTGTGTAGGTATGCGGAGTTTAGAGATGAGATCAAGGCTTATCACAAGTAAGAAGGGAGGGTCAGGTGAGGCTTTGTTTGTTCGCCTGAACAAAAGGAGCAACAAGATTAACGAACAGGCTGAAACACCGGAGAGAAGAGTGCAGAGAAATGACACAAACAGAAGAGGAGGAAGAACGTTTGGAACAGTTTAATACGTCGTGGTTCTAATATTTCTGTTGGCGCAGATAGGATCACTGATAGATGAAGCAATAGTTGGCTGTGAGTAAACACACTGTACTCACACTGCAGGGACAAAACCCAGTAAGAGCCGGACAGACTGTTCATCTAAAAAATGAAATAAGACTGAATGTTTTTCATCTCTAATGGGACCTTCCTGAATAAAGGTTAAATAAATATCACACAAAGAATGGAAAATTTGGGAGGTCTAAATCAAACTGAAATGGATTTTTTTTGTTTGTTTTTGTTTTTAAATAAAACTCCCAGAAATTCATCACTATGAGGATTCAAGATGGCTGCCACAGGTAATTAATCTTAGCCAACACAAATTGAATTCARTTTTTCAGATAATGTTACAATTTAGCATGGTAGTAGCTGAGAATCATACCCAACACATACTCTGAGCTCTAACAGATCCCATGAGAGCTTTGTTTAAACTTTGTCAGGAAAAATTAATGACTTTAAGGATTATTATGTTAATTTCTCAGATCTTGTGAGTAAAGGCTAATGCAGATCATCGCTGCTCAAATATTTCACCTTGAATCATTTTGAGATCCAACTGTCGTCATGTCAAAGGCAGCTGAGAGCAGCTCCTCCTCTTCCTCGGTTTCCACCTCATCCTCACATCTCAGCCTTTCTCCTTCAGTTATCACGTTTCTCTGTCGTCTACAGAGGCCATCATTGTACGCTGCTGACTTCTTTTTTCCATTCGTCTCCCCACCTCTCAGCACCAACTCTTGACTCGATGCCTTTTTTTGTGAGTGGATCTCATGACATCTCACCATTGTTATCTCCATCTCATCTATAACCATGTCCTGCTTTTCTCATATTTTCATTCTTCCCCCCTCCCTCCCTCCTACACCATCACATTTCTCCTCTCCGTTTGTCATTCTCCCTAAAGAAGCAGTGAGATGTCAGCTAGAAGATAATAATCGTGACAGATCTCTGCTTTTCTTCATTCTTACGATGTTTTCTTCCAAACCAGCTACATTAAAAGTTCTGTGTTTTTTTTTAACAAACATCAGGTGGGAAACAAACACACATCCCCTCACCTCTCCGTTGTGCAGCCCAGCCCCCGACAGCCCGTTCATCACCACCGGCTGGTCGCTCTCGTTCAGAACCTTCTCTGGCACCGGCGGTGCCAAGTCCTCCTCTGGTTCCTCCAGACATTTGTGCGAGGGGCCGGGGCCGGGGGCGGCGGCAGCGGTGGCGGCGGCATYACCCGAGTGCCGTTTGGCCTCCATGTCAGCGCTGTGACGGCTCTTCTTGTTCAGGTCGATGGAGGCRTACTCCACCCCCGGGTACAGCGGGCCCCGCTCAGGAGTGCAGGGGCTGATGTGGCCGTTGAGGAGAACCGGAGGCGGCGGGTCGTCGAGTCTCGGCTGGACGGTACCGTTGGAGAGGAGGGATTGTGCGGGGGGTTCTTTGAGCTCTTTGACCGTCTCATACAGGGAGTCCTCAACGCTGACGTCACGGGACGCGGTGGCGATGTCCTTCACCATCTGGGTTTCAGAGAAACACGCTCAGGTCTTATGTTTTTCGGCACCTAACAATTTTCATCCTATTTAAGCAGTTTATTTTCTGCTGCCTTTAATTTAATTTATGATTTTTACTTTTATTGTATATTTAATTTCTGTTGCTTTTTAAAGAAATAAATGAACTTTATAAATAAATTAATAAATTTATATATCTAGACCAGGGGTCTGCAACCTTTAGGATCAACAGAGCCATTTGTGCTCCTTGTCTCACTAATAAAATGTGTCCAGAGCAACAAAACTTTTCTGGGCCTTTTCAGGAACCTTTATGGCCAGTGGAGGTGACATTATAAAACTAAAAAAAATTATTGTGAATTTTACTATTTATTATTATTTTTGCACATCAGGACAAATGAAAATACCAGCTTCATGTAAACAAGAAAAATACTGTATATAGTTAATATTGAATTTCATAAAACTGGTTCAACTGAACTATTCAGGTTTATATTTTTTCTAATTCTTATTTTTGTATAGTTTTCAAATTCTTTAAGGTAATTCTGATGGATTTGAGAGAAACATCATAGAAAGAAGTTGGATTATTTAAGTAAACAACAGGCTAGCATGAGCTAACATGTTTTATCTTTTTGTATTAGTATTGATCAGATATTTGCATAAAAATTGATTTCTGTTGTGAGTATAAAAACTATATTTACTGTTATGTTTGGTCACATTTTCAAAGAGCCACTGCAGAGGGTCCAAAGAGCCACATGTGGCCCCAGAGCCGCAGGTTGCAGACCCCTAATCCTAGACATTCAGATCAGCTCCTTCAGGATATTCAGACTACGACATTCAGTACTTCAGCAATCTATACTTTTTGAAATATTTAGCTTTTTTGGCYATTTTTTTCTCATTGAATATGAATGGAGCTGTCTTCGACATCCTTAAAATCCTTTAAAATGTTCATAAACCTTTACTGTATTTGTTACATTTTGTTCTGGTTCTGTTTTTTTAACTTCTTTTTGCTAATTTCAGCTTCCATCTGCTTCTATTTTAGCTATAATTCTGACCTTTGACTATTCTACTGATTTCAGCTTCTTCTGCTAACATTTCTTTTGTTCCTTTCGCCTTCTTTCTGCCCCTTCCAGCTATATTTCTACTCCTTTTACCTTTTATCTCCATATTTCTGCATTTTTCAGCTATTCAACGGTTTCTTCAGCAAATTTCATTAACCGTTTAGCTATTTTTGGGTTCCACTCTGACCTCGTAAGTGTTGTCCCCTGAGGCTGGGGGTCTGTCCTCGACGTGGGCAGTGCTGGGGGGGATGCTGGGAAGCTCACGGTCCTGATGGTACTTCGAGGACCTGAGMTCTGATTGGCTGAAGAGCACCTCCTCGGACAGCTGAGGGCTGGTGTCCTGGGTGTCTGTGAGGACTGAGGGGCGAAGGAAGCTCAGACATGTGCTTATTTTCAAAAACTCAGAACTGAAAATGGCAAGAATGTCTGACGGCTTCGCAGCAAAACATAAACAGAATTAGAGTTGTTTTAAASCTTTTGCACATTACTTGACACACACAACAAGAAAACAACAGCTGAAGTTTCTAATGAATAAAAGGTGACAGAAAATATGATGCATAACAACAGCTGTGGTGCAGATTTTTCTCTCATGTTTCTCATTAAGCAGCAGCAGCCACTTCCAAATGAAAATCCTGCAGAAGAAAGATGTTGCTATGCTGGACCCGGCTTACTTGTACCGCTGGTTAGGGGGCCGTTGTGAGAGGTGCTGACGGCGGCGTCAGTCAGTGGACTCTCTGCTGATTGGCTGATCGTCTCCCTCTCCGACACCTGCACAACAAAGGACGAGATGTTTGTCGCAGCTCGACKAGAGTTCGCCTCGGCGCCCAACAGAACGGAAAAAAAAATCAATCTGCACCCGTCAGCTCGCACGGAACAGATGACTTTCACACCTCCGTGCGACCCTGAGAGCCACAGCTCTGCAAACTGAGAGACGTCTGGGAATTTTTTTTACTCCAATTTGATTCATTTTGTCCACGCTTCCCTGCTCCTTTAAATTTGTTTCTCTAATCTAATCTATGTGAGTCACACCACTGATAAGGTTCATTATCTTATTATTCACGCCTAATTAAATAGTTTCATTATTCACAGAGAAAAGACAATTTCAGACATTTCTGTTTGCAGCAGCATGTAAATATTAAAAAACGAACAAGTGCACGAAAGCTGTCGACACAAAAGGCAAGAAAAAAAGGTCTGTGTCGAAGGTTCGATCAGCTCAAATCGATTTCAWATAAATGAACACAGAAAACACAAGCACTTTTACATAGATGTCTGATTTGTGCATTTGCGGTCTTTGATGGAATTAGAAAGTTTAGAAAATGTGAAAACATGTCAAAAAGTGCTCGTTGCCAGAGCTGTTCTTTGTTCATAGCAGTTGTTTTCCTGCAGTGAGACAAAGCTGGTTCAGAAGCTCCACAGCCCCACCTAGTGGTCATTTTCCCTCATAGCCGTCAGTGTCAATGATGTAATCTTTTAACTATTTTATGTCCCCAGTATGTTGGTTTTTATGCGTTTGTCTCATYGTTTAGTTTTCATTCGGCACATAAATCATATTATAAGGTGATAAACATCTTTGTCGTTATTAATCTTGATCAAATTCCTCAAACGTGAATGACAGAAAATGTGCCATCATTACTGCTCATGTTCACTGATTCTGATCCCAGATTGAATTAAAAGGTAGTTTGCTTTAAAAAAAATAAAAAAGCTAAATGGCTGCAGGATGARGAGGTGAAGGAGAGACTTTCCAGACAGTGGACTAGATTGCGGCTCAGAGAGGAAGAGCTCATTTGTTCAYGCTCCAAGACAAAGACCCCCCATTTACCCTGTCAGCCTGTGACATGGTCCGTCATACAAATGGACACCTCTTGGAACAACTTGGCGAGGCGGCAAATTATGCTGAAGCTCGAGGTGACGGCGAAGATATCAATCAAACGCAAAGAACAGGCTCTGCTGGATGTTCACTGATTGGACRTCGCTCGGTGTGCGGAGGCTGGGGGTATCTGTCGGACGTAAACACTGCCCGGGTCAGGGAGCGAGAATGTTAATAGTTGTCTTTGCCTTGACGTTGTGTTCAAAAAGAGTGTGTTCCTTTACGGAGTGTCATTATGAGTCAAAAGGTCAAATCTTTAAATATTGAATAGATTTCTCCCACTAACTGAACTGAGTTAGGTAATTAATCCTAAATGTGGCCCTTTTTTTATCACACTGGATCACACCTGGGCTGTGTCCAAATTCAGGGGCTGCATCTGTCGAAGGACCAGGCCTACCTGGTCTACGTAGGCCAGGTCTTTGGTCGACCATTAAGATAAAAAGAAAGTGTCTGTGAATTTGGACGGTCTAACCTTCAGCTTTATTCCCGCCCTTACACTGGTGTATATCCTGTCACAGCGCCAAAACAGCTAAATATTAACTAAATTAGCTTAGAGGCAACGCATCAAGATTCAAACCGACATATGAACTTGTTTACGATGATTTCTGATGAGAATAATATTAAAAACACATCTATACAAATGACAAACGCCTAACAATACAACCGCTTTAAACTTTCAATATTTGTACGGTCAGAGTTTTATCTAAAACTGTGATCCTGTCTCTCACTTCATCCACAACTACAAGCAAAAACAAATCTGTTAGTCGGCCCAAAATGCATCTTGGGATAGGRTGGGCTGTGAAGGATACACCAGACCCATCCCTCAAATCGGAGGAAAGGAGGACACATTTATGGGCCACAACTGGAGGAACCTTTGAGTTTGAACATTCGGCGCATCGCTGTGACGTCATCATCCCACAGTCCTTGTGTCAATCAGAGATAACTACAGGGGTTAGACAATGAAACTGAAACACCTGGTTTTAGACCATAACTTTCCTGTCAGACAGCTTCCTCTTGCGTCCACAGTTAATTCTGTTGGATGTGGTTGGTCCTTCTTGATGGTATGCTGACATTACCCTGGATGCTGTGGCTCTGATACATCACAAAGACTTTCTGTCTTGGTCACAGATGCTCCAGCAAGACGTGCACCAACAATTTGTCCTCTTTTGAACTCTGGTATGTCACCCATAATGTTGTGTGCATTGCAATATTTAGAGCCAAAATGTGCTCTTACCCTGCTAATTGAACCGTCACACTCTGCTCTTACTGGTGCAATGTGCAATTAATGAAGACTGACCACCAGGCTGGTCCAATTTAGCCATGAAACCTCCCACACTAAAATGACAGGTGTTTCAGTTTCATTGTCTAACCCGTGTATTATACCAGTCTGCTTTAAAAAAAACAAACAAAAAAACATTTTTATGACCTACTTACTCCATTCACAAGGTTTTCCTGGTCCCCAACTGGGCATAGATTTGCTGATTTTTTCTGCCTGAAAGAAACAAGCAAAAACAGATTAAAAGACACAAGAAGAAGCAAAATGTACAGGCTTTTCACTACTTTGTGTCTAAYAGCAGCATTAGATTGAAAAATGTTTTAAACCTGTAGGTGGCTATCCGGTTATATTTATTTATTTTACTTCAAATTCTATTAAAGTTTCCTTGGAAAGCAGTAGTTAAGTCGAGCTCCTGTTTGTGTGTGAGGTTTCTCACCCCTTGCAGCTGGCGCACAGCAGCAGCAGCACGGAGACCAGCAGTGAACCCAGGAGGACGCTGATGGAGACGACCTGCAGCCACGCCGCGCCGCCAGGAGCAGCGGCAGCCTCCGACCTCCAATCTCCGCTCAGCGCCGGAGCCATAACACATCACAGTGTGTGTGGGGGGGACATCGGACAGGTACCAGCTGAGAAAACACACAAACGCATTTGAAATTTGCAGCAAAATCAATCAAGGCACAAACGGAGCGACATAACAAATGCAGTTTTCGTCTGCAGTTTTCACAGAGGGGGCTAACTCTACAGATGGGTTTGAATCTGCACCGTTTGAGCTGGGCGCTGTGAGAAGAAACAACCAGCAGGTGGCAGGACAGAGCAGCGTGAGACCGCAGTGCAGACACAGTCTGCTGCAGTGGTCCCTCACATCACAGCCTCCACCTCAGAGGTGCGTTCGGCGCAGCATCAGGAAACTCTTCACGTTTCCGTCCAACGGGCTGGAAATGTGGGTTTGGGCTCCGCTGAACCGGCAGGACCGGTGATTTTAGCACAGAGGATTTATGGGACGGGGAGCAGCTGAGGGTGAGAGGCGTCCAGGCCTCGTGAAATGTCAAAGAAAAACAGGTGGAGAAGGTGGTTTGAGGATGCTTCTTTGTGGGCAGCAGGAGAAACGGGACAGTTAGGGGGGTCTTTCTCTTTAGGTGTCTGTCTAATGATTTTCTTTTTGCCTCTTTGTGGCGGGGTTCTAATTCAGGGGCAGCGTCCTTCGAAGGCCGGGTTTGAAGGCCGATTWCGTCAGAGCGATGCACCTGTCTAAWCTCAAAGGCTATTCCACCTCCAGAAATGCATCCCCATTTGCCCCCGTTTGAGGGACGGGTCCGGTGTTTCCTTCACAGCCCACCCTATCCCAAGGTGCAKTGTGGGCCGACCAAGAGATTTGTTTTGCTTGTAATGGAGGGTGAAGCRAGAGACGCAGTGTTAAATAAAAATCTGGAGGTACAAAAACTGAAAGTTTAAAGTGTTGTTASGCTTTTCTCATTTGCAGAGACATGTTTTTGTCAGAAATCAGTGTAAASGAGCTCCTATGGTAGGTAAAGGCGAATCAATGTTGACAAACACAAAAATGTCTTCGGCTCAGTCATGTTTACAGATACTGARCTGTAATGAGCGGCTCTGGCAGGAGGAGGTGTCCTGTGAGTGGTGGGTTGCAGGTTCAATCTCCTGTTCCGTTCTTCTCAGTTTGGGCAAGACACGACACCGGCCTTGATGGTGGTTAGAGGGTTCGCTTCTGTCAGWGTGGCCCAGGGCAGCTGTGGCTACAATGTAGCTTACCACCAGWAGTGTGTGTATGGGTGAATGAATGGATAAACGCTGGTCATTATTTAACAGATTTCCGTAGTCCAAAACTATGGCAAGAAAGGTGTGTGTGTGTGTGTGTGTGTGTGTGTGTGTGTGTGTGTGTGTGTGTGTG